TTCCTGCACTCCCACCTCACCCGCGCAAACCTCTCCCTCCCGTCTAACTGGCGCTTCGCCTGCTCCTACGCCCTCTCGCGCGACCTCCTGCCCTCCACCCCGCGGACCGAGCTCTCGCAGGCCGCGCTCGCCGAGCGCTTCCGCGTCACTGTGCACGCCGAGCACCACGCCCACGACGACGTCCGCGTCCTGCGCCAAATCCTGCACCGTCTCATCTCGCACCAAAAGGACTCCCGCCCCCTCTCCTCCCACCTCGCCGAGGAAGCAACTCGCCTCGCCACGTGCGCCGCCCGCTACGACATCCCCTCCCCCGCTGCCGCGCTCGCCTTCTTCGTCGAGGGCGGCGACTCCCCGTGCCACACGGAGCGCTACTGCGAGCTTCTTGTCAACGAGCTCGGCCCCGCCGGCACCGTTGACTCGTGCCCGCTCCGCGACGCCGCCGCGTGGCCGCAGTGTCACCGCTGCACGCACCTCCCGGCCCTGCCCGCGGAGGAGAAGGACAGCGTCAGTCAAGAGTTTATCATTACGAGGACCGGGCGCATGTTGAGCGCAAAGGGCAAGTACATCATCACCAAGACGGGGACCAAGTTCCATGTGTCTCCCACGTGCTACAGACTCGGGAAGGCTCGGTCGCTCTCGTATGCCATCTGCCCGCCGGACGAGCTGGAGCCGTGCCGCTTGTGTGCGCGCGGCGCGGCGCGAGGAAGGGACGCGCTGGCGCCGGCTGAGACCGCGGCGGGAGGGGAGGAGGAGGAGGAGAAGGACAGCGTCAGTCAAGAGTTTATCATTACGAGGACCGGGCGCATGTTTCATGCGGATCGCCATTGCTACAACCTGAGGAGGGCGACTAAGAAGATTCCCGTGACAGATGTGCCGATGAGGCTTGTCCCTTGCCCAAAGTGCACGGACGGGAAACGGCCTGGCGCGAGGCATGCGCGCATCCGAGAAGAAGAGGAGAAGGAAGAGGCTGAAGAGCGGAAGGAAGTGGGGAAGAAGCTTGTGCCCTCGAAGACGTCATCGGCTTTGAAGGCGTGCGAGAGGATGTTCTTCAAGACGACGAAGGGCGATAAGGTTCACGTAGATAGGGACTGCCGCCACCTCAAAAACAGAGAGGTGTTGGTATGCGACCCAGTCGTTGAGGAGAAGGAGCCGTGCCGCACGTGCTCGTTGGCCCTCTTTCAGGAACTTGAAGTCAGCCAATGGTGCCACTTTTGTGAGGACATGACGCACATTGGTTCGCTGCACGTCGTGGTGTCTGGAGCCGGGGCGGGCGCATTGGAAAGCGATGAAGACTAGAAAGCCTTTGCGAAGCGGTGCAACTTGATTGCCTGCTGGAAAAAGTGGTTCATCTCCCTGCGTTGTTGAATTTCTGTAAAAATATCATTTCTGTTTGCACTCTGGCTTGTACTGGCTTGGATACTGTGCCGCAGATTGCGAACAAGTCTCTGTTTGCTATCTACAAAGCGGCTGACATCAAAAAGGTCGTGGCTGGTGGAATGATTTTAATTGTACGACTGTAAAAAGCGTTGTCAAACACCCGTATTGTATCGTGAACGCTAAACCACGACATGCCACTTGCACTCGATGGTCTTCTTTTGTCCTATTCCTACTTCCAACTATTCACCGGTTCAATTTCTAGGAACAGAAAACAGGGAATGGCTGTAGCAATCGTATGCACTTATCTATCCTTTTGACCCAAAACCACACCGTCAAGTTTGGCTGGCGGCGTAGAGCTTTTGTGCCGCACGGTATACTACACACCTCCACGAGGACGTATACTATAGTACGAGGAAGACGAGAATTTACAAATTTACAAACATGATCATTAGCTGCAATAGCTAACCTTGTCGAAAAAATAGTCCTACCACGTTCTGTGAACACACCCCGTACATGGTCTACACGTGCAGAGGAAAGATGTGCAAGTGTCCCTTCTCTTTTGATAAAAGAACTTCACACCCGTCCTTGTGCAGCTTCCATGTTTCGGCAAGACTTCCATACCTTTTCGTTCTTGCATTGATTTGCAACGTTAATGTTGTTTAGAAATCTCTTTTCTTCAAAATTAAGGGAAGTGACACTATTGGCCCAATTGCTGGACGCGCCCGAGTAAAACCATTTATCAAGTTTTGGACAGGCTTCCGGCCAGTCTTCATGCTTTGGTCCCCATGGTGTCCGCATGTACTTGACGTTTGGATACAGTTTACAAATGTCATAAAACGCATGTGCAGGGCAATTCCCGCGGTCTGGCTTGTACAGTGTGGGAATCTCATCTGTGTGACTTTGAGACATGCTCTCGAATTGCCATTCCTTAGACCCTTTCGGGATGCAATCGCAACAATGTTCACACACCGAGTACACAAAGTAGTCAAGGTTCTGTATATCCCAGCTGCTCCATCCCATCAATTGGTCCTTGCGCTTATCATCACATGGATTCATCTCGACGTACTTTCCCAGTTCTGTTTTGCATTGCGGATTATCCAAGGCATAGATATTGTTGCACTGCACAAAAGCTCCGTTCGGTGCAACAGGTTTGAGAGAGCATGCACTGCATAAACGGTAGGGCAGTGTCACTCCGCTACAGCTATGAGCACCGAGAATATCCTTTTCCCCATGGCATGGGTATTTGCCCTGCCCGTACACTGCAGAAATCATTCCCACAAGGAGGCATCCCGCTAGTACTGTAGAAACCATTACAATGTTAGTCTCTCTTCGTCACTGGAGAGAAAGGCCTGGACCGCTTGATATTGCTGCATGTGCATATATATCCTTGCTCCTGGAACCGACCCCTTGCTTAATAGCAGTGACCACTTTTCAGCATACAACAAGCTTGCCCTGCATCCTTTCATTCTCACTGATGGGTATTCCTGGAAAACTTGTAGACATGCGATTTCAGTTCCTGAGAAGTCAAAATCGATCTCACTTGTCGAAATTCCGTTCGGAGCTGTGGCCCACTCAAACTGCTCGCTGCACAGACAATGGGTCAGACATATGTGAAGACGAAGGTCCCTCGTTGTGCACAAAAAAGAGCAGTCCTCATCCTATGGGTGCTGTGAGAAACAATGACAGTGGCACTCTGTGCCAAGGAAGCGATGCACCGTGCTTGTCATGGAATCGTCATATTTCCGACTTTAGGCTTACAGAGGCCCGAGACGCATGCCACTTGGAGCTGCTCGGGGCAATCGACCACAATAGCGAAAAGCGAGCGTAAAGGTATATAAGCGTTTATAAGGGACAACCTTCAAGGCCACTCTGGACAAGGACTGCGACATATTTTCTGGGGTGCAGTCGCGGCGCGGCACGCCAGAAACCGACAGAGCTTTTTGAACATCCCGATCGGGCCATCTCACAAGATAAAGCACTTGTGTCAGGACACAGGTTTGTCGTATCCTGATATGTTTGTAAACACCAGCAGTGCCCTTCTTTCAGTGCGACCTGTTTTCGGTGCGACCCGTTTTCGAAAGAGAGAGTGTCAGAGTCAAGAGTAGAGCAGATGGCTCCATTCGGTTATTCTAGCTTAGTGTCTATCCGACCAAGCGTTATCATAACATAAAAATCTGCGAACTTTATTTCTTTTCAACTTTGATGGCTACGGTTTCAATTTTTCTTTGGTAGATTGACTGCTTTGAACTTTTTTCTGAAGTTAGAACCGAATGGAAAAAAGAATCAGCACCAAGTCACACGCCCTGGTTTGGCACCCCGGCTATGACTTGGAAATGATTCTTCATTCGCGTAATGGAACTTGGCAGAAATGAAATTCGGCCACTGTCCGAAAACAGGGCTGTATAAGAGAGGCACGTCAAAACTCTCTCACCACTCTTCTCTCTTCCTCAAGTCGTCGCTTGTTCTCGTTTCACAACTCAACAAGCTCCAGACGGATCATCGTCACGGCCGGCTCTCAACAACTTGCGCATTATGCCTAATGCTGAAGAAGAACAATCTTCGTCCAGATCCGCAGGCATCTCTGGCCCAGTGCCAACTCTGGAAACCAGCCTTCTACCAGTCGCCCTCCATCTGCTGCTCTCGTCACCAAGGTCAACTCGTTGGAAACGCCGGTCGCCCAGATTCTCTCGCTGCTCCAGAACCGCCCCGCTGGTACGGCCCCTACTGCTGCTACCGCTGAGGATCCAGCCGCTCCGCCGGTTTCACATGCCGCCGAGCAACCGAGTGCCAGGACCCCTCGCGCGGGCCCTGCCCCACCGCAGCTCACATCTGCTCACGCAGTCTACGCCGACCGGGGACTTTAGTTTACTCTTCCAGCTCGGACTGCTCAAGGAATCGCTGACACCGTCGCTACACGCCAACAATACGGGGAAACTGGGAAACTCAACCTCTTCCAGAAACCTGTTAACCAGGCCCCATTCCCGTCCAAACGCTTCATTCCCGAAACTGAGAAGCTGTTCGGGCGCATCAAGGAATCGGATACAAGGGACGGTTGGGAAGCTGAGGTACTCTGGAACATCGGTTACAACACGGAAACTGCCCTCGCCGCATCTCAAAAAGTGGCGGAGGCTTTGTCCACTGGAAACACTCAAGCCGCTGCTGAGGCCTTTTCAGTCCTACAACACTATCTCCAAGCCTCGTACGAACGGGTGCAGGAACGAGTCGACTTCTTCTCCGACTCTGTGGAATCAGGCAAGTCCGAGGCGATACCTCTCCAGAAGTATTTACGCGAGCAAGATCAGCCCTACGTCTCCCAACTCTACAGGGACACCAAGGAGAAGTTTGCCGAACTCCGCTCCCAGGCCTACGCCAAGGAGTTCAACAAACAAGCTGCTCGCAACTCGGGAACACAGGCTACAGGACGTATCTCAAGGGGACTCTCAGGAAGAGGGGCACAGCGGTATTCGTCGCGGAACCCCAATTCAGGAGGCTCAGGCTCTTCCGGGTCTAGCTCCAAGTAATAGTCCGCAAACCGGACCCTTCTGTGCTATGGCGCAACCCACACCGCCAAGCACGTTTCTGGGCCGAAGGGCTCAGGGCTCCGGACTTCCTAGTCCGAGCCATCAAATTCGGGGTGTACGAGAAACCGGTCAACTCAACCAAATTGGCCACACACTTCGTAGTCCCCGAGATCCCGGTGGAACCTCTGGATTTGGACTGGCTACGCAACGAACTCACCGATGCCATGCGCCCCCATATCTAAGAGGAAATCTCCCTGGTGGAGGCTCACTGCCTCAACAAGCAAGGATTCCCTATCTCAAACGCCTTCATCGTGCGCACAGGAAAGCGACGATTGGTCGTCAACCTCAAACGACAGTCAGATCTCTTTCGGTCTGTTCCGGTCAAAATGGAAACACTGGAATCCTTCGCTTTGGAAATCAAGCGGAACGACCACCTGCTCTCGTTCGACATAGAGAAAGGGTACCATCATTTCAGGCTACATCCGGCTATCCGCAACTGGTTTCTCTTCAGAATCGATGGACGTTACTTTCGCTGTATCGCCCTACTGTTTGAGTGGAAGCTATCTCCGTTCTACTTCGTCCAATTCATGCGACCTTTCGTCGAGTACATCAGAGACCGGCTCAATCTTCGCATCCACCCATACATGGACGATTTTCTGGTGGCAGTTCCAAGCCACACCGAACTCGGCAGAGCACAGCGGCTCCTGGACAAACTGCTGCAGAAACCCGGTCTCCGCAGAAAGCCAGGCAAAGGCTTCTGGGACGGGTCGCAACGGTTGGACCACCTCGGTTTCGTGATCGACACCAAGGCTCAGGTATTCGGGATAACGGACAAACGGATTCAGAAGATTCAGGCCATCGCTCGGAAACTGCTACAGCAAGCCCGACAGAACCGTCGGTTGGTGGAAACATCATTGTTACGCCACTTCCTCGGGGTGGCCATTTCATGCTCTCTGGCCATGCCTCTCACCCGCTTCTACACCCGTTCATTGTACGACTCGCTACGCGGACCAACGAAGCGGCGCGTGAAGCTCAAACACACGGCCATCCGGGACCTGGTACACTGGAAGGAATTGGTCAAATCACCGTCTACGCGCCCTCTCCATCACCAAACGGCCACAATGGCAATGCAATCCGATGCATCAACCTCAATTGGGATGGGAGGGACACTGGGACACGACCTCAGGGTGGGGGAACCAGGGGTCTGGGAAGCGAAAGGGCTTTGGGATCCGCATCTGCGTACGAAGCCCATCACCTTTCTGGAACTCAAGGCAGTAACGGACAATCTGAAGGCATTCGCAGACGACCTTCGAACGGGGACCCATCTCCGCGAATGGGAGGACAATCAGGCTGTGGTCCACATTCTCAACACAATGACCACGCGCTCACCATCCCTCATGAAGGAGTTGCGGGCGTTACACAAGGTACTGCTCAAGCTGGGCATCTCAATCGAGTCACGCTACGTCCCTTCTGCCGTCAACCGCTTCGCAGGTCGCCTCTCTCGCTTGCGTTCACTGGACGACTGGAGGATCAACACCCGGACAATCAGGGCGCTCTTACACGAGATGGATCCAACAATCGACCGGTTTGCGGATCAAGAATCAACGATCTGCAACCGGTTC